CTAGCTTCCAAGGTTCCTCCTTGCCAATCTTCTTATTTTCTCTTCCAGGCTTTAAACCACCAAAATAAGCTTTTCAAGGTCAAGATCTCACAAAATGAAGGTTGGGATGTTCTAGGGTTTCTTCTGAGGTTGGGGAGGCTGATATGGGGGCTAGGGTTGAAGCCATTGTGTTCTTTATATAATGGCACTCCCAAAAATAGGGTTTAGAGGCTGTTAGCGTACGCTGGGCGTACGCCTTAAAAACCCACGATCTTTTGCCCCGCTACGTTGGGCGTACACCAGCCTTACACTGGGCGTACCCAGCTAAACACGCGTGCACTTTATGCATGCTAGGGACTGCCTTGTCAACTTTTCCATTAAGGGCCATAAATGTCAATATCTTCAAAGTGTCATAACTCTTTCATTCTATATCCGTTTCCGATGAACTTTATATCCACGGAAAGGTGGCGAGAAGCTCTACGCGTCTAACAACACTCCCCGGCCCAAAACCTTCTCGAATAATACCTCTAGGACTCTTAAAAGACTAGAACGCCCCTAGCCTTGGCCTCTGAAATTCTATAACTGAGTAATTTAGAACAGGGCGTTACATATTCCCCCTAAAAACGTTTAAAAATCGTAAAAGCGTAGGGGTATGAACTCACCTCGAGTGAGTGGTTTGTATGAAGGATCGATAAGAGATGTTGAGTGTCAAATGAAGCCTCGAACACAATTGGATCCTAATTATCATGTAATAACACATATATGATTCAATTTAGGGTATTTCACGACTTAGACATGATAGGAAACCACCCTAAGGACTTGGAAACACTTGGACTAAGTGCTAGAATCAAATACGATTGAGTGAGGGAGGTGTACGGCCACCCTAGGGGTGTGTACGGCCATGAGTGTGCGGCCCATGAGTGTACGGTCGTACACTCATGATGAGATGCGCTTTTGAGGCGTTTCCAAGGTTCTAACTAGCATCCAAGGAGTGTTTTAGGTGCCATGCTTGGTTGAATGCAAGTTTGAAGCCTAAAATGTTCATCAAAGTGGGTGTATGACCCTAAGGTATGTGTGTGGCCGTACAAAGGGGTGTGCGACCGTACACTTTTCATGTTCATGTCCAAGTTGTCGACTTTAAGGTGCATCAAGGCTAAGATCATGTCCAACTAGAAGATAGGGGCCAAACTCTCACTTTGGAGAGCCTTTAAGGGGGTGTACGACCAACCTTACGAAGGTGTGCGGCCGTACTCCTTCAAAGGGTGGAGAACATGATGGAATTTGATGAACCAAGGCTTGAATCAAGAAGTCTTTCAAGTATAGCAAGCTAAAGGATGGAATACTCACGTTTTTGAAGCCTTGAAGAGTTCACGGTTGAAGAAACTTGAGAGAGAAGGGAGTAGTGTGCAGCCAAGATGAGAAAGGAATGAAGGAAGGGGATCTATTCTTATATATAGGGGTGAGTGTGCGGCCATAAGGGGGTGTACATGTGTACGACCATACACTCCTCCTAAAGGAGTGTATGGCCCGATTTGCTACTTTTACGACTTGATAACTCATCCCTAATCTCAACCTTGGTTGTACTCAAGCTTAGAACACTTAAACGAACCCTTAAACAATGCTAAAAGGTAACATAATCGAATTTAACATTGATATAATTGACTAATTGTACAAGATAGAAGTTCCGGGTTGTCACATAATCACACATAGGTCAAGATGCAAACTTGTTGCTCAAAAAGCTTCCCCACAAGGTGATGATTCTGGATCCAGGGTCTTTCCACCAAGCCAAACAACTTCAAGTTTCTCTTATTTCCTTCCCAAGGGCAACATGTGCACCAAAACCTTATAAGAGCTCAATAACACCATCAAGAGGTTACAAGATCGATTTAGGGTTTTGAGAGGGTGGGGGCTGACTTAGAAATGAAGGAAAGAGGCTAAAATTATGCTTATATAGGGTACAACCATGAAAAGTAGGGTTTTCAACCTGGCCCTTGTACGCTGGTACGCCCAGCGTACGAGGTCTCGCACCCCGACCCAATTTCGCACTTACGCTAAACGTCCTTCCAGCTACGCCTTGCGTAACCTCCCTCGCCTCGATACACCCTGCGTACCACCTTGGTACGCCCCATGTACTAGGGTTTTCCCCAAACCCTAAATCATCCGAAGATCATAAGTTTCTCGATACAACCCCGATTTCGACCATCCTTATATCTATTAAAAGGTATCGAGACGCTCTACACTATTATCAACTCATACCAGCCATAAGATATCCTGAACGAACATTCACTTTCCATAAAAGCGCGAGCTGACAAATTACCGAAATGCCCTTTGATTCCAAAATACAAACCGAATACCCAAAATATTTGAATTACATTATCCAACTCCAACTGGGTCCAAAACTCAATTCCTCAAGGATCCCGAAGCTTGCTAATACCAAATCCCTTATCACCATCCCCAACATGGGAATAATTCGAAACAAACAGTTTTAGGGTGACTCTATGGTGGTTGGTGGTGGTTTAACCAAGAAAGAAAAAGAATGGAGAGGTTTTGGGATATGGAAGTTGTGAATTGAGTGAGGATTGGAGTCTCCAATTCCTTCTATTTATAGCTAGGGATGTATGCACCCAAGCACTTGAGGCCATACCCTACTCCACACTTTGTAATCTTAGCAAATAGTGTACACAATGAAGTATGGGTGGAGGAAGGAAGAAGTGAGAAAAATAACATGGGCATAGGGGCTCCTAATCATGTACTATAAGATTTTCCATACGAACTCCGTTTTGGACGTTCTTTATATTTTCAGAAATAGGGGAACATGTACTATAAGATTTGAATGTTTGCTTTGCACATAACTACTTAATATGAATTTTCAGTTTTTTTTTTCAGATGCATTAACCAGTATTGTAGTTTGAGCTGTTTGATTCGTTTGACGGTTTACACATTTGAAAGTAAAGTATCATCTGCTATCTTATAATATTTGAAATGAACTCATTTATTTTACATTAGATGCGCTAAAACTCAATGAGTTAAATTACAAAGAGATTTAATGTATTTTAACCGTTCGCGGTCTATGACCTAAATTATGGGATGTCACACAATCTAAACAAGAGTTGAAGATCCCGTTTATATGGTTCCATCGTTATAAAGACAGTGGAGAACGAATATCATATGATAAAGTTATGAATTTTTAACGGACTTTAACAGTCTAAGTCTGTTAAAAATATAGCTTTATAACTAAATTCAAAATTAGCCGATGGAGTCTAAATGAAAGTTGTAGATCTCGTCGAGAGTTTTTCGGGGATATAAAAAACGTCAAAAACGAAGCTCGTATGAAGAAGCTACGACATTTTGAAAATTTGGAAATCCGCGCGTATTGATGACGCACTCTCCAGAGGCGACACATGGCAAGTCGGCCGCTCCCCTCCTCGAAGAGACGCGGTGACATGGCACCACACGGTTGCGAAACGTGACACCACACAAAGACGACACATGGCATGTTCTAGAAGGGCCTTGGGTGGCCCATTCTAATCGCAACATGTGGCAGGCAAGCGTAGGAGCCAGCACAGCCCTGGTGTGTGGCGCGTCTTGCTGTTGCCTATATATAGCCTTCTGAAATTCACTTATCCCACACCAACTTCACTCTTATTTCTCTCTAGATCGTTTTTCGGCTATAGGACCGACTTTTTTTTTTTGGAGTTTCTTATTTTAGCGAGGCTCTACTAGATTTAAAATTCCAATGAATAGAAGCTTTCGATTTCAGAGTCCTGTCGGCGTATTTTTCTCGAGTTTCGCTAAAACCTTTGTAAGTTAAGCTACATTTATCGCTTTCAGTGTAACTTATATTTATGGTCATAAGTCGTTATTATGAACCTATAAATACGATTTATCAGTAATTCCATGTCGTTATACCGATTGATCAACTTACGGGAGCGCTCACCTTCCAACATTATCTGGCACCCGCGCCTGGTGCTCGTCGGGCGCTCTTGCCCAACTCCTTACTAGATGGGCCTAAGTTGGGATGGCCCAAGGCCTGACCTAACTCTCCCTTGACTTAATTGTCCCCCATAAATAAAACATAATCTCCTCCATAGAGAGGGAGCTTCCTTTGGGACCTTTCCCTAGGACCTCTTTCACCCTCAGACATCTCCCACCTTGGGAGACCAACCTCCATGGCCAAACACACATACCCTACACACCAAGATGGTTCTCTCTAGCTAGGGAGAACCATCTCATCTCTACCAACCGATCTAACTTGATTGTCGAAGCTTGCTCCCGGGGCACTGTCTCTGGGGCAACGCTAACGACTTTGCTGTGATGGCAGCTTAGGTATCTCGTTGGAAAACTCGCTGACGGCACCACCTTCAGATCTCCGATCCGGATCCAACACAGAAGACCCGACGGCCTGAGCTCATGTCGCAACAATCACCAATAAAAAGAGCGTCATCCGCATACATAAGATGAGATAGAATAGGACCATCTTTAGGAAGAGCAATACCATGGAACAAATGTTGACGACAAGCTTCACTCATAGCAATATTAAAGCCCTCCATGGCAAGAATGAGAGGAAAGTGGAGATTGAATCTCCTTGCCTCACACCTCTTTGGATCGCAAATTCTCTCGAAGCGGAACGATTCACCAAAATAGAAGCTCTTCCAGATGAAAGACAACCTTTAATCAACCCTCTCTATTTAGAGCTAAAATTCATTTGTTCCATAACTGAATTCAAAAAACCCCAATGAAAAATATCAAAAGCTTTGTTAAAATCTATCTTAAAAATCAGATTTAATGTTTGAAAGGACCAACCATAAAAAAAAATATAACAAATGGACCAATCTAAGAAGAATGGAGGGATGCCCGGTGAGTCGGTGACCACTCCACCACCGTAAACATGGAGTGCATTGCAATAAGTACCTTGGCGTACATGTAAATTCAGCTTGAGAAAAAAGAATGACCAAAATATCGCTTTTCCATTTTCTTTTTATTTTTTTAATTGACAGCTGGCATGCCTCTGGTCTCCTTTTGCTGTTCACCGACGAAACACAATTCTTCCCTTTTCACCCTGAATCATCGCCACCTACATTCTCTCCGTTTCTAGGGTTTCAAAATCTCCATTAACAATCATAATCATAATCACATCTATCTCTTTCTCTCTCTCTTTCCCCTCTCTTCCGCAATGCATTCATGGAAAGACAGAGTTACAGACAAGCTGACAAATCTTTTCTCTGATTCTCCATCTTCACCTTCATCACCTTCCATTGATTCTCCTCAACCTCATACGGTACCTTGTTTCTTATTTGTATCATATCCTCACGCTACATAAATGTGTGCATTGTTTGGATTCCGATTTTGGTACTAGAAAGCTGTAATCCGTATCGACTTTTTTTATTTAATTGATTTTATGGAATAGGAGATGGATGATCTTCCTATTCGTTTTTTAAATTCTGTGAACCTGGTGTTAGGTTTATAAAGTAGATCGATTTGGTTTAGAAATTGGTGAGTTTGTTCAACTGTTGTTAGCTAATGATGCCATTGTTATTGTTATTTGGGAAAGTGGATGTCCAATAACAGAGATTGTCGATTTGAGATCTTGAATCACTTTATACAGACAAGAAGAACAGATTGTCATTTTGAGGTTTTGTGTTTCACGCGATTGAAATTGAGGGGAGATCTGTGATGAAGTGTACATTGATACACCTTTAGATTTTCAAGGATAATTGTGATCAGTGAACTTTTTTCAACATCTGCTTATCAATCGAATTTTAACTTAACATGCATAATCTACTATAATTATATTTTTAATCATCTAAACGAACCATTACAGATTCTGTTTAAACATTCATATTCCTTGATTAGAGTCTCAAACAGTTAAGTTCCAAATGGTGACTTGACTACCTATTGATGATAGTTCTTTTACATTTTCTTAGCTCTTGTTTCAATACAATCCATCTGCCATAGTTGATTTGTAACATGTGATTATTAATATGTAGGCCAGATCACACTCAAAAGATGGAAATTACTTCTCATCTGTTCTTACATTCATGCGTCCCTCAAGTGATTCTCCTTCAAACAACCATGGAAATAACCTTAGGCCAATTCAATCACTTCCAACAAGATGGAAAAGCAAAGATATTTCATGGCAACACATACCCTTAGATCCCTACGATGAGGATGATGAAGAAGATGAAGATGAATTCAATCCTCACGAACAAAGTGGTCAACAAAGTCAAAGCAAAAAAACCGAAAGCAGGGAAGTAATAATATCAAATGGTAGAGTTGAAGAAAATGGAGACCAAGGATCTTCAAGGAGCAGCAGTAGCAGCTCTGAATTTGAAGATGCAACTGAACCAAATACTCCAATGAAAGCTATCATTGACTTTTCCCTTGATTCATTTTTTATTAATCAAGATTTATACCAATTCTTTCAGTCTTCCCTTCCTAATTTAGTCAAAGGCTGCAGATGGGTCATGCTGTATAGGTAATAATATCCTCTTAATCTTTACAAAATTTTCCTTTTTTTTAATTCTTTTTAAATTTGTATTTACTTTTTGTTTCCAATCAAGGGCAGTACTGTGAGACATGGCATATCACTTCGCACACTTATTCGGAAAAGCTCTGATCTTTCTGGCCCTTGTTTGCTGGTAAGCTTAAGGGCATTAACGTCTTTTTCCACATATGAGAGATCAAGACCGAATCCATATCCCACCTTTTTGGATCTAACAAAAAATTGTAACTTTTAAGGGTAATTTTCAATGATGAGGATTAGGAGGGCATTCACGTCTTTTCATGTCCAGGGCAAAAAAGTAACTTTTGTCCTAATGACATCTGTCACTGTCCTTGTCCCTGTCCCACCAAAAAAGTGTGACTTTTGTATCAGTTATATGAGTCTCTCTGTCCAATGCATGTCAAACACAGTATGTTTTTATGTATCCAGATAACTGGAGATCCTAAAGGTGCCATATTTGGTGGGCTGCTAAATTGTCCTTTGACACCTACTTCCAAGACGAAATATCAAGTAAGTTAAAGCAGCTTCATATATTTATTATTTAATTTTTTTGTTATAATTTATTTCATTTTTTTAAAACATTGAATGGTAATTGTGGTGACAGGGGACATATGAAACTTTTGTTTTCACAACATTATATGGTGCACCAAGGCTGTTTAGACCAACTGGTAAGCATTTTATTTTATCCTGTTTATTTCTAGAAGTTTAATTAAAGTGACCATTTTGCCCTTGTATATTTTTTATTTTGAAAAGGGGCAAACCGGTACTTTTACATGTGTCTAAACGACATGCTAGCAATTGGAGGAGGTGGAAATTTTGCATTATGCTTGGATGAAGATTTGTAAGTTCTTTCTTTCTTTTTTTTTTTTTTTTTTTTTTTTAAATTATACTAATAATGTCTTTTCTACAATTTTCCTTTATGATGATTAATTATTATTTTTTTGTCCTGATTATGTAAAAAGGTTACATGGAACAAGTGGAAGTAGTGATACATTTGGAAATCAATGTTTGGCTCATGATGAAGCATTTGCTTTAAAAAATGTTGAGGTAATTAATTTTGATTTCATTTTCTCGTTTTTTTTAGAACAATTGTGTTATGTTAAAAAAAAAAAAAAAGTTTGTTACTTGTTTATGACATTAACTGTTTTGTTGTTTTTGTGTAGTTGTGGGGATTTGCGCATTCTTCTCGGTATCCTTGAATTAAAATGATTTGACTCGTTAAAAAGTCATGAATTTGTGTCCTGAAAATTAAATTATAGACGGGATGTAATTATCTACATTTTTTTTTATTAGTATTATAGTTGTTTTGTAATGTGTTTTGAGTTTCATTTATTTTAATTATTTATTTATACACCGAGGAATCAGAGGAAAAGAATGTTTATGTAAGGTTTTATATATATAATGAAATCAGTGGAGAATATGATTTTTTTTATTTTGTTAATTTCTATTCATTATATAAAAATTACAGTATGGCAGGTTTTGTTTATGCAAACTCTTAATGACATTTTCAAAAACTTTTCATGATTTTAGTTGAGCTATAATATTTCTTTTACTGAAAGATATTAAAAAGTCTTATCACTTTATTAGGGTTTTAATAAGTTTTTACCATATATCTTTTTATTTTTATTTGTGTACACAAGTTTATTTATTATAATTTAAAAAATATATGTATAGTATAGACTATAGAGCTAAAAACTATGTATAAATTATGTTTCTGAATATCAGTCGGATATAATTAATTGTAAAATATAATGCCTATTTAGTTATTTTATTTATTCTATTATCTTATCTGTTATATTACATGGTCATTCGATTCAAACAAACAAACATACCACTACATGTGAGGTTCACGAAATCTAAAGAAATTGGAATGTGAAAATCCATTTAATTACTTGCCACCAAATAAATAACTTAAAACTCGGTCAAAATCCTTCAAATTCAACACATGATAGAATTTCATTGTCTTATTGCTAAAACCATTTTCAATCCTAACCTTAGCTTTAAGCCTCTTACACTAAACTCATAGAAAGTGTAAAAGATAGAGTCCAACCCATAACATTATATTTACTTATTTAGCACCAAAAGAATTTTTAGGTATATTACTTTTTATCTAAATTTTATAATTTTTACAAAACAACCCTTATATTTATTAAATTTTTATAAACTTAGACCCACATTTTTTTTATTACAACAGTTTTATAAGTTGTATGATAAGAGATTTATAACCAAAGTAAGTTATTTGTATATAACTAATTATGCATTATTAAAACAACCATTTTATTAAATAAAAGAAAATTACACATTTAAATATAGATTACACATACATTTGAAAAATATTAATTATATTCAAACAAATACCAGACATTTTCGCATTGAAATGGTTTTTCTTTAAATGGTCAATTAAACGATCTCATAGATGGAAATGAACTTTTTTCTTTTGATGCGTCTTATATTGAAAAGAAATTGTTGAAACCGATTACTATTATAAATCATTGTTTTCACATTTGTGGATAACACTTGTCTCACAACTTCAATTGGTCTGTCAAAATCATGTTCAATATCAATTATCATATTATTTAAAATAATACACCTAATCGTTATCTCAATTAAACGAGAGTACCTTGACAATTGGAAAACGTGAGTGAAAAACTCCAAAGTATCTTCCACTTCCTTTTGAGATGCTTCTTGATCATGAAGGGAAATACTAGGGCTGTAATCTTATATTTGAACTATTTTATTCTTATTGGATTAATAATACACATCAACTATGTGATTTAAATATGTATTGCTTTTTAAGTTGTTATAACATAATAACACAAGCAACAATATTAAAGTATAAGCTATAATTATACAAACAATTAACTAAAAATAAATAAGTCGGAGGTTAAAGGGCCAAAAACATTCCACAAGTTAAATTTTGTTAAAAAAAAAGCCTCCGTTTTGCATATAAAACTCAATTCTTACATGACTTCAAAATTCTAAACACAAATAATCTGTCTCATTAAATAAAAAAATCCAGAGACATTTTTAAAATGCTACACCTGAATAAAATACAAAATGACCCACTTAGATAAACAAACAACAATCATATCACTTTTTCAAGATTCGGCTTCCATTGCAGCATCATTTTCTTCTCCAGGCAAACCAAACAACCGAAGGTTTCTATCCATTGACCCAACCGCTATGTATTTTGCATCAGGACCAAACTTTACACTGTTTATCTTACCTGCCATTTACATTTTATAATTTAATTTTACATTAAAAAAATAAACCCACCAAATTAATATTTAAAAAAAAAAAAAAAAAAAGAATGAATGAAACCTGTGCCGGACAAATCAGGGAATGTTTTAATACAATTCCATTCTGACTTCACATTCGCAACTTGATAAACCCTGTAGTAAGTACAACACCACATACACAGATACAGTAATGTTAATTACTATTGTAAATGACCAAAATACCCTTTCCTCTATAATCATCCAACATGTAAGTAAGTACCTTATGTCTGAACCTCCTATTGCCAGATAACTTCCACTATGATCAAATTCCACTGTTAAAAAAAAACATTACAATGTCATCAGACACTTTATAAAGCTCAAAACAAATTCCATATGCGTCGTAAAATGACCAATTTACCCTTTCAAATATTTTTAATTACCAGATTGTGTTGGAGTGTTCTCGTCATAGGGTGTAAAAGTCCTGAAGTTTCTCAGTTTACGAAGATCCCACAGCTTAACACCATCATGAGCAGCAGTCTGAATTTATAAATAAATAAATAAATAAAATTTGCTAAATCATTTAAAGCTAAAACAACAGTGTGTGTATCCATGAGGTTCTTTTTTGAAAAACACTTACAGCAAGGAAGTAACCGTTTTCTGAAAAGGATATTGCAGTAACTGCCCCAACATGACCATCAAACCTCGCAACATTTGCCTACAAAAAAACAAAAATATGATATAAGATACAGAAAAAACAATGAACCAGGGGCAGTTTTGGAAATTTACCTGACTCTTCACATCCCAGATTTTAACAATTGATCCAGAAGTGCCAGTTCCTAGAATGAGACCATCAGGATGAAAAGCTGCAGATGTGTAGCCCTCGGATACAGATGAATCTTCAACCTTCAAATTAATTGCAAAAAATCTTGCTTCAGAAGATACATAAAAAAAAATGTTATAAAAAAACAGAGGAAATTCACTATATGATAAATTGTTACAATCACATAGACTAATCTCTCAAGCCACCACAAATTACACTTACACTCTTCAAAGATTTTATTCACCTTTACACTACACTATAAAACAAGAAAAAAGATGGAAATAATAAAATGGTTGTTTAAACTTTAAATATAAAACATTTTTCAGTTTCAGTCCTTATTTCAAGGTTTCATATTTTGGTTTTAAATAAGTAACCAAAATCGATATGTAAACACTGAAATAAGAACCAAAATTGAAAAAGGTTTTAAATTTAAAGCAAACATGGTAAAAGTCAGAAAGTGTAGGGACCATTTTTGTAATATACTCTAAAGTCTATTTTGAAATTTGGAGAATTTGAAAACCAAAACATTAGAGTCCTTTTATATGCATAGAGCCCACTCTATGTATTCTAAACTACTAGTCCTATCATCTAAGCCAATAAATATCACATTTTTTATAATAAAAAATAAAAAAATAAAAATAAAAACCTGTGCAAGGCATAATCCGGATGACAGCTCGTAGAAGCACCAGGAATTGTCTAAAGAGGCTGTTACAAAATAGTTATTTGTAGCATGTACAGTCACAGCTTGCACCTAAGAAACAAATAAATTTTATTATTTTTCATAAAGTAGAATCAAAATGCTAAATTTTAAATAATGCTAAATTTTAAGTAAAATGAAATAATTTATTACCTCAGCTGTATGATCCTTTAAGACATGCTTACAATCATAGTTTCCATTCTCAGACCCTTGCCACACTCTTACTGTCTGCAAATAAAAAAAAAACAAGTAACTTTAATTTCAATGCAAATTTTATTTATTATAATGTGTTTATGTTATATAAACAGACAAAAAAAAGTTTATAAAAACAAGGTCTCAAGAAGGAAAATGAAGAAAAAGATTAAAACTTACTTTATCAGCTGAACCAGTAACAACCAACTCACCATCGGACACAAACTTGACACTTGTGACCTAAAAAAGGGATAATAAAAGTTTTTTAAAAAAAGGTAGAAACATAAAAACATGAAATCAAAATTACTTGTTTTACCAAATAGTGAAAAACACCTTCTTGGAGTGGCCACTGAGTGTAGATACAATTTCCCCTGAAGATCGATTAAAGACTACAGCATTCATATCAACTCCACCAGTAGCAATAAGATCCTGAGATGTGCAAAACAGATCTTTCTTAAAAACCCAAAATAAAAAGATCAAGAACAAATGTGGAAATGCAGTTGGAATTACAAATATGAAATATCTACCTTTGATTGATGGATGTCAATAGATAAAATTCCAGCTTTGTTTGTTTTGTGAAGAGGGTAACTATTGAGCTGTGTATACCTCTCAATAGCATCCAATGGAACCAATGTGGGAGGAATCTGAAGGAAAAAAAAAATGTAAAATGATATTTGAGTTTTTAAAAATGTTAACTTGTTTATTGTAAATATATAATAGGATTCCATTTGGCAAACAAACATGCCATACAATGGAATCTTGAAGTCCAATTCGGTCGGAATGCAAAAATCAAACAAGCCATGGAATGGAACCTTGAATTCCAGTTCTTTCAGAATCCATGATACCTGTCTTTTCTTCCTTTGCTGTGAAAGTGCAGCATTGCAGTCTGTTAATTCGGTAATGATACTGGAAGAAATTCCAGGGCGGAATTTCTTACCATCAGGACCAAACTCATCATCCTCAGTAGCAGCTGTTAAAACCAAAAATTTGAAAAAAAATATAAGTCACAAAAGAACAAAATCAAGAAAGATTAAAGACCTCTGAATAAAGAACAGAAAACAAAAACCTCTTTTCCCATTGCTTATAGCATAAGCATTTGATGAGACTGCTGTTGTTGCTGGCATTGGTGCTTGTCTTTCTAAACTTGACAACATTGTCCTTGCTTCATCAAGTTCTTTCTTTAATCTTGCAATCACCCGACAAGCTGAATCATGCTGACATTACAGAAATAATATAAACATGAGCTTGGAAAATGAACAATTTGAACATTGAAAGATAAAACAAGGTTTGAAATTGGGAACAAGTAAGTTGTTTGTGGTACCTGGTATAAACAATGACTAAGCTCTTGCCTTGTTGTATGTAATTGTTGCTCTGATGCAAAAGCAGATAACACCAAAGCATCCCATTCCTGAAGTAAAAGGAGTAGCAAACATATGAGAGCTAAGTTTATAACATAATTCAGATGATTAAGAACAAGATTGTTAATAGAACAAGGTAGAACACATACATTCTGGAACATTCCAAGCATTCCAGGAATACTTGCAGCCTGCACTGGTCTAGGTTTCACTATCTGCATGCATTTTTCATAAAAGTTATAAGCTTCAACATGTAAAGATTGAGATGTAAAATGTGGAAATATAAGATTAAGCAACAAAAGTTTACGAAATGCAAACCTTGCCAGTTTTTATTGGAACAAGATCATCCGTAGTTAGGGTTTCCCCGGTCACTGGACATTTTCCATAGTCCTAATCAAAATCAAATAAAGTCAAATACATATTAGAACCAGTAGAATGACGGTAGTTAAACTTGGTATGGTTTCTTTGACAAATTAACCCTATTTGAAGTGTTTATCATAAATTCTACTATGTTCCATAAAAGTCACACTCTGTCGACGAACTTGGACATCGAAGTCGATTTGTAGTTATATTTTGGTATGAATGGTGATGTTATTGTGCTATAATTACTCTCAAACTTCTGTAATTTCTTGAATTTTAGGTAACGCCGGAATAAAACTAAAGGAAAATTCACGATAACTAAGAAGATAAACCCTAGCAAAGAAAGTGAACTCACCAGTATGTGTCTTTCGATCAATCGCTTCTCGAAAAGTAGTCCGGATGACTTAGAAACAACAGGTTCTTCCGGCACCTCGCCGGAAACTGTGAAAGTAGCATAGAACAGCAAAAGGTAAAACAGATCAGGTCAACAGAAACTAAATAATGAATGATGTATAGAAAACGAGGTAGGAAGAGAGAGACGTTACTTGAACAAATCATTGTGGAATGAGAGCTAGGGTTTAACAGTCGACGGTGGCCGCAGTGGAGGAGTGAAGATGAGGGAGTAGATGGATCGGGTTGAATGGATTTTCTTGTGATATTTAGGAGGTATCGGTAAATCGAGTGAGGAAACCCTAAAAGGTTTTGTAGCCGATTGCTGGTCAATATTTGAACCCTTTGCTTGGTTCGATATTACAAAACTTGAGGTTGATATAAAAAGACAATTTCAAGTTAATTTATAAGGTAAATTAAGCGGTTAGATTTTTGTGTGTAATACAATATATATATATATATATATATATATATATATATATTTAAATATAATAATAACGTTGTTAATTTTTATATAATAATTTTTATATTAATTTGATATAAAACATTGATTATAATATAATTTTAAACGTAATAATATTAATTACATGAAACTTCAAACATTGTTTTTGATATTATATGTAATAATATAATTTTTCTATAATATTACTCTTAATTATTGTTGTTATAAGTTATTTTAAGTTATTTATTTATAAACAGTTATAAAAATAATTTTATAAATCTTATTAGTTAATTTATGATTATAATTCAGATTTTGGATTTAGCACTGTAACTTATAATGTTTAACTATTTACAAAATAATCTTTGGATTTTCTTTTAAGTTTAACTGAAACTTTGATTTAAATTAATCCTTTCCTGTTATATTTAAATTAATGATTTAATTATTTTATACAAAATATTCAAAAGTTGAGACTTTAAAATGACAATGATTCGCATAGAGCTATATACTCAAACTAATAAGTTAAGTATAATATGTTAAAAGTTTAAGATATAATTTTATAAGAAAAAGTAAAAAAAGTTATTTTAATATTGAATTTTAGTTAATTTAGTATTACAATTTAAGTTTTGCACTTATTTAACATTATTAACCAATTTATAATCATTATTAAAAAAAAATTATGAAAGTTTCAAATACATATGATCAAAAGGAAAAATGTATATTTTATTATATATAAGTTTAGATATAGATTTTTTCAACCATATTTTGTGACTAATAATTTAATATATTAAATACATAAAGTAAAAATCAAAACATATTTTTAAGGCGGATTAAAGTGTCATTAAATAAGAATTTTTATATAGCACATCAAATATTAAAAAAAAGAATAATCAAAGAATGGTACTTTATGAAATATATCAAACACGTAAGATAAATGCATGTCTAATTATCAGAGAAAAAAACTTTGCAACGTCTCAAAAATATCGAGTAGAAAATTTAATTTTAATCTAACAAAATCATTCATTCATTACTATTAATAAATAATCGAATATAAAGTATTCTCAAAACATCAAGTGAATCATAAAAGATAGTGTGGCATAAAACTCTGGGGGATACAATGTAACGTCCAAAAATTTCACGCCAAATTCAAACTTTTTAAATCACAAATAAAAGTCAAATAGTATTGTTTACAAAATGTTTTCAAATCAATATCCATCAGAGTGTCCCAAAATCATAACATAAGGATGAGGAGCGGTACGGTCACGCCTTCGCCTTGCCACGATCTCCTGAAGTACCTGAAACAATAAACTGAAAACTGTAAGCCCGAGGGCTTAGTGAGCTACCCCCAAAATACCAATACCACACTGACAATACCATATCAGTAACAATCAATCAATCAATCATGCATACTGGGCCATCGGCCTGACTGGTCCGCCCTACCGGGCCTACAGTCTATCTGAATATATTCATGCATACTGGGCCATCGGCCTGACTGGACCGCCCTACCGGGCCTACAGTCTATCTGAATCTATCCCGAGCCTTCGGCATGACTGGTCCGCCTCGTGGGCCTGCAGTCTCCCCGGACCGCTCATAGGGTATGTTGGCCTTCAGCACAAAGCAGGACCACCTCAACCCAACCAATAAGCAAATAACCAAGTTCGCATAACTATCATATATTGACATATACAAACATCAAACATATCTGTCATATTGATCATCAACCATAGAATCCTCTCATAACTAGAGTACCGACCTAACAGGTCACTAACATATCAATCCTTACGGATCATAAAGCATAACATACTGTCTACCCTGATTCCGATCTAGCAGACCAAACCATATGTAGCATACCATAACAATAACAACTAAAAGGGTCGGCCTTGGTGCCGTAGACCCTATCGATATAGTGAGGGTAACTCACCTCGCAGATGCCGACTCGAAAGGTAAACTCCAATTCTCGGATCACTTGACACAGGCTCCACCACCTATGACCATAGTACAATATACTCATAAGTCCTTAAATCTATAAGGTACTCCATAACCCACCAGTCAACCCCTGGTCAATGTCAAAGTCCTCAATCAAGGTCAACAGTCCATGTTGACCCCCAACTCGCCGAGTACCCTTGGCTACTCGCCGAGTTCCTCGAAGCACATTCCACTCGCCGAGTCATCGGGGTGACTCGTCGAGTTCCTTCGATTCTCGTTCAAAATCTAAGGCCACCCGTCGAGTTTCCTCCTTGCCACTCGACGGGCGCACACGCATACATATCCTAGGGAAAACTCATCCGACTCGCCGAGTTGTTCTTCAACTCGTCGAGTCTTATGGTGATCTTCGTCGGACTCGCCGAGTTGTTCATCCAACTCGTCGAGTTCACGGGCATCTTCATGTGACTCGCCGAGTCAACCTTGCGACTCGCCGAGTCCATTCAGTTCTTTTTCCATACAGACTTGTTTTGAGCCATGCAGCGGCTCCAAATCACAGATCCAAGCTTCTAGGGCATGCTTTTCACGTAAAGTTGCAAACTTTACGTGCATGCATGACTAATAAGGCTCTTAATGCCAAAACTAGGTTCTTAATGGGGCTTTATGCACAAGGAGGGCCTCATTCTCGACCAAAACCAGAGCTTTATGACTCTAGAACCCAAGAAGGTTACAGATCTGAAGTTACAAGTTACAACTTCAGATCTAGCTCATATCCCACATTACCATCTCAACCAAACCATAAAAACCCTAGATCTCAACCAAAAGAGGTCTAGAAAGAAAAAGGAGAAAAGATGACGACTTGATACCTCCAAATGATGCTATTTGAGGTAGATTTCTGATCTCCCACACTTCCTTGCTCCTAGCCCTTTTGTTTTCCCCAAGCTCCTTTCCTCACAAGATCTCCTCTCCAAAGCTTTACACACACAAGAATGAAACACCACACGAATTAGGGTTCTCTGAGCTCTCAAAGGACTGCAAAAAGGCCAAAGGAGGCTTATGCTTCCTTAAATAGGGTGCAAAACCCCGGGATTTAGGGTTTCATCTGCCAGCTCCTACTCGCCGAGTCCCAATATGGACTCGTCGAGTAGGTCACTTAACACGCGATCCCACCCCGCTGCTACTCGACGAGTAGGTCAACCAACTCGTCGAGTAGAGCTTCACCAAATAAATCTTATTTAAACAATACCTGAGAATCGGGGCGTTACAACTCTCCTCCACTTGAACTAGACTTCGCCCTCGAAGTCCGTCGGAATAAACAATGTCGGGTAATGCTCGCGCATCACCGCTTCCGGCTCCCATGTCCACTCGGATCCCCTCCGATGTTCCCACTGTACCTTTACCAAAGGTATTTCCTTGTTCCGCAGAATCTTCTTCTTCCTTTCCAAAATAGCCACCGACCTCTCCACATAGTTCAGGCGTTCGTCGACCTGAATGTCATCCAACGATACCACTGCCTCCTGGTCCATAATGCACTTTCGCAATTGCGAAACATGAAATGTGTTGTGGATCCGGCTAAGCTCCTCCGGAAGCTCTAGCCTATAAGCCACCCTGCCAACCCTGGCAACAATCCTGAACGACCCGATGTAGCGGGGACCCAATTTTCCTCTCTTCCTGAAGCGGATCACTCCCTTCCAGGGTGAAACCTTCAGGAGAACCATGTCACCCACCTGAAACTCCAGCTCAGATCGGCGTCGGTCGGCATAACTTTTCTGCCGACTCTGAGCGGTCTGCAGTCGCTGTCTAATCTGTTGTATCATCTCGGTAGTTTGCAGAACTACCTATGTCCGACCCATCACTCTGTGCCCAACCTCGCCCCAGCAGACTGGGGTCCTACACTTCCGCCCATACAACAGCTCGAAAGGCGGGGCGCCAATACTGGAATGATAGCTGTTGTTGTAGGCGAACTCTACCAGCGGTAGGTGGGAATCCCAACTCCCACCAAAATCAATGACGCACGCCCTCAACATATCCTCGAAGGTCTGTATGGTCCGCTCACTCTGCCCATCAGTCTGCGGATGGAACGCTGTACTAAAATGCAACCTCGTACCTAGTTCCTCGTGGAACTTCTGCCAAAAACGGGAAGTGAATCGGACATCCCGGTCGGAAACTATGGAAACTGGAACCCCATGGCGAGAGACAATCTCGCGGACGTACAGGTCGGCCAACTTCTCCGCCGACGAACTCTCCAGTATAGCTAGGAAATGGACACTCTTGGTCAATCGATCCACGATGACCCATATAGCATCGAAACCCTTTGCCGTCTTTGGCAACTTCGTGATGAAATCCATCGTGATCCGTTCCCATTTCCACATGGGAATCTCCAGGGGCTGCAACTTACCATGCGGCCTCTGGTGCTCGGCCTTGACCATCCTACAGGTCAAGCACCTCTCAACAAACCAAGCGATATCTCGCTTCATGCCTGACCACCAATAACTCGAACTCAGATCACGGTACATCTTGGTGGCTCCCGGATGAATAGAGAAGCGAGACTTATGAGCCTCCTCCATCACTGTCTGCCGGACCCCTCCGGTCATTGGAACCCAAACCCGACCGTAACGGGTCAACAATCCGCGGCTATCATGAACAAACCGGGCGCTTTCGCCCTTAATCTTCTCCAACTTCCAGTTCTCTGGTCTCATACCCTCAATCTGAGCATCCCTGACCAGACCCACCAGCGGGGAATCCACCGCTATCCTCATACACCTGACTGGGGTCGAGGACCCAGCTGACTTGCGGCTCAGAGCATCCGCAACCACGTTCGCTTTACCAGGATGGTAAAGGATCTCACAATCTTAGTCTTTGACTACATCCAACCACCTGCGCTGCCTCATATTCAGGTTTGGCTGATCCATAATGTGCCTTAAACTCTTGTGATCCGTGTATATGGTACAACGGACCCCGTACAGATAGTGCCTCCAAAT